ATAGAATCATAATATCACATAATGTAGATAGATACATAAATTTTGAAATGTATGTTATATTAATCAAATAAACAACAGTTTAAAGTTTTTGAAATTATCTAACCCCCTTTTATTATTTTTTTTGTTTTTCTAAATTTAATTTATTAAATTATTTTATGTGGATCAAGTTTTTAATTATTTCATTAGAGTAATAATGCTTTTCTTCACTTCCCTGTTTGCTTCTGCGTAGTCTGCTTGTGCTTTGACTTTCTCTGCTCGTGTTCGGCTGTTGTTAATTGCTAGTTTCTTGTTCTTCCTTTCTTGAATTTTGTCCAGGGTTCTCATAGAGATCCATTTCTTGTGATGATGCTTCTTAGGACCAAGAACCTCCTGACACGTTGAAGTTAGTGCTTCATTGATCCCTTTCCAGTTGTCCTCCAAAGTAGTTTCTTATTCTTTCAGTAGATTCTGTAGAGCTTGGAACCTGTTGTTGAGAGTTATCTTGAATTCATGGAGCTTGTCAGCATCTCGAAGGAAGGCTGTATTAAACCTTTGTAGTGCTGTTTGTCCAGTTGTCCAGTCTTTCTTTAGCTTCAGTCTCATCTTGGCCACAACCAGGTGGTGATCTGAAGCTATGTCAGCTCCTCTCCGGGTTCTCACATCTTCCATTGATCTTCGGAATTTTTTGTTGATACAGATGTGATCTATCTGGTTCTCTGTGGTTTGATCCGGTGAGATCCATGTAGCTTTGTGTATGCGTTTGTGTGGGAATATTGTGCCGCCTATAACCAATTTGTTGAAAGCACATAGGTTTGCAAGTCTCTCCCCATTTTCATTTCTTTCTCCTAGTCCGTGTCTTCCGATTATATCTTCATATCCTGTGTTGTCCACTCCAACTTTAGCATTTAGATCTCCCATCAGGATGGTGAGGTCCTTTCGTGAGCACTTTGCTACAATTGATTGCAGCCTTTCATAGAACTGATCTTTATCATCGTCGTTGCTATCATTGGTGGGTGCCTAACATTAGATAACGTTCATTGTGATCCCTTGCTTCTTTGTTCTGAATGATGCTTTGATTATCCTGGGTCCATGAGATTCCCATCCCACAAGTGCATTTCTTGCTTCTTTGGACAGCATTAGAGCAACTCCCTGAGTGTGTGGAGCATTTTCCCCTTCGTGACCGGAGTACAGCAGCATCTCTCCTGTACCTAGCCTTTGTTGTCCAAATTGTGTCCAATGGGTTTCGCTGATTCCGAGTACAGCCAAGTTGTATCTCCTCATTTCCATTGCTATTTGGCTGGTCTTTCCTGTCTCCCACATTGTCCGGACGTTCCATGTACCTATAAAGAGTGTTGCTCTGGTTGTTAGAAGGTGCATCGGTCTCGTGACTTCCGAAGAATTTCGGCTTTCATCATGAGACGTCATAATTATTCCTTCAACTCCCAGGACAGAGTTTAAATGGTTTGAATTATTTTTTCTGGTTAGCATTTTTTTAGCGAGTTAGCTTTTCTACGGGATGGGGTCGCTAACCCCATGCCCAACCCTCCTCCTTTACCCGGGCTTGGGACCGGCAGTAACTCTAGAAGAGCTACAGGCGGAGTTATTCTGATAATATTGTTATTTAATTTTTAAATAAAATTTTTATATACATAGATAAACGACACAGTCATAGTGTAACTGATTTTAATGCCTTTCATCTAAGATATATACTCGGAAAACTATTTTTTCCAACAGGAAGATTTGAAAATTATTAATATTTTAAAACTGACTGATCATGATACTGTACACTAAAAATAATGACAAGTAGTTTAATCAACTTCATTATGTTTAAAATGTAGATTTCAAATGGTTTAACATAAATGTAATGAGCTTCTCAACAGTAACATTCACTGGCTTTATATGCAAAGATGGATAATGGTTAGCGATGGAATCTACAATGCGCGTTTCGTCCAAGCTGGGACTCGTCAGCTAGATGTACCTGAATCTCAGAGTTAGTGTTCACTCTTGGACTCGAACCCAGTACCGTTTGCTTCAAACGTCATCGAGTTATCCACTTAGCTACTGAGTCCTGATGCGCATATCACAACAAGAGACTGATCAATTGCAGTCGTAAATAACAATCGGAAGATATAATATACAACACCAAGTGAAAATAACATTCAATGATTAAAAAACATAAATCAGTTCTCGTATGATCCATTTAATTAATTAAGAGAAATATTTCATTACTAGAATTCTTTACAACACTTTTAAAAGAACTCCTCACTACTTTTAATGATTATATAAACTGCTTCTTGAAAAAATCTTATCAACGTTAAAAGTAGTCAGTAGTCAATACTTTTGAAGAATTCAGAACTAGAACAAAACAACTAATACTTCATAACTCAAACTACTTATTTTTTAATATTATCCTTGTCTAAATCAATGATACTATTAAATTAAATAAATTTAATTACCCAAGAACATAAAAATCAGTTATTTTGTAATGAACAAGAACACGAGTGGGGACAATCGAATTTATTTAAGCACAAATTATAAACTATCTTACTAAATTCTGATAACCATACAATGAATAGTTAATTTGCAAAATATCAATCAATTGTCTCAACCTTAACTGTTCCTTCCGTTTTCTCTGATTTCATTGTTCATGCATTTTCGTGCCGATTGCGCTTCATTCCTGTTCTTTCCTTATCAATCTTCTGCTAAAATACATTCTGTCTGACTATCACCATATACTACTTATGTGGATATAAGTAGACCACACCACAATTTTACCATTTTACCTGTGTTTCTTTTTTAAAATGTATTTTATAACTCCAAGCAAAAATACAATTTAGCTTTCATATTTTTTTGATTTTTTATGATTCTGTTCAATAATTTGGATGAAACCTTATTCATAAGTATGATGTTTTATACAATCATTTTGAAGGTCAGAATAAAACAATAACAACAACTGATGTTTTCGATATATTTCACCATTGTGTTGAATAAAAAGAATCCTTCTTTTGGAAGGAAATACACCAAAATTTCTTTACAACATCAATATTCATTTCACATATAATGAATTTTTGATTTGGATATAAAAAAGAAGATATGAGAAATAGCCATGAATAATTTTTATTCCTTCAAAGGAGACATTTAAAAATGTTCTACATTCATATATGTTAATTATTTCTTACAGAAACTGACAATGAAAATTTGACAGAGTATTAATATTTAATGGAATGATCAATAAAAAGTCTACATTTTCATGGTGAACTTTTAGGATTTAATGTAAATAAAGTCTTATCCGTTATTCACTTGATATTGCTTAGTTGAATCTTCCCATTGTTGTCTAAGACTACAATTGATCAATCTCTTATTGGCATACTTTACATATTGACTCAATACTATCTTAATTCACAAGCATTATAAGCAAAGATGTATGGTGGCTAGCAGTTATTGTCAGGGGGTTTGTGGAGATTTTAGTAATTTTATATAGTTGAAATCATCAGTCAATTGAAGCTAGACCGTCTAGTGCTTCCAGGTTTTCCATGGTGGTCTAGCTTCAACCGACTCATGATTTTAACTATATAATATCACTATATTTATTAAATAAATTTTATGTTATACAATTCTGTACTTCATGTCATTTTTATGCAGAACAAGTAGTATTTCAGTTGGAAATCTCCATGTTTAACTGGAAAAATTAGTATTTAGTCAAAATAAAACTAAATGAGAACAATAAATCAAATTAGTTAAAAGTATAAGCCGAATGTAATAATGTCATTTTTTATTGAATCCATCAATTTGATGATCGAATAACCGAATAAAAGAAAACCCAAAGAACACTGGACAGTTTTCTCATCCTAAAATAGGGTTTCTTAATGAAGTTTATTCACTACTTAACCACTAGTCAAATCAAGAACCTTCAAGTCTTGTAGTCACCTTTTTACTCTTAGGTCAGTAAGATGACATTCAGTAATCAATCATATGATTATACATATACCAAGTTATTGTGTATGAATGTGTATAAACAATTCACAGTGTATTTTTAAAATAAAAATCAGAATTATTATTTTTTTGATCAAAATAAATGTATGTTGATCTACTATTTCAACTCCGCCTGTAGCTCCTCCGTGGGCTACTGCCGGTCCCATGCCCGGGTGAAGGAGGAGGGTTGGCCATGGGGTTAGAAAACCAACTCGCTAAAAAAATGCTAACCAAATCTACTATCTTCGAACTACAACTTGATCAAAAACATAAAAGACCAATGTTGATTTATTTTATTAAGATTAAAAGATTATAAAAGATGACAATAATTGTCTTTCCTTTAGCATATTTTTTTTGAACATCTTTTACATAGAGTGCTTATAAAATATATAAATTATTCTTTGATCTGTTTGTCAAAGCTACATATACCGTATTACTGCTTTATTTATAATATGATATAGTAACTATTCTCCTGAAATAGTTATGTGCATAAAGCTGATATTATTATAAGTTTTAAACTGTCACTCAAGATTTCTCTTAATCTCCTTGTGCATTCCAATATAGAATGTTAATTCATTTATAAATCATCCATAAATAATTTCTGTTGTAAGTAAATTAATTATTGAAAACTCATGAAACATCCAAGTGAAACTAAATAGAAGTGCTTCGAGGCCTATGAATATTTTCACAAAAATTTATGTCACTCAAAATTACCAAGCATACTGTCATTCATCAATTGTTTATCGTAATTTACAGCACTTCAAGCTTGTCTATAACAATAAATTTCTTAATCATCTCGATTATGTAATAATCTTTAGTGTAGACTTTTAAAACATTGAGTTTACTAACAAACTGTTTTCATAAGTATAATCACTTTATTTGGCCCATTACAATTCATTTAAATTTTGTCGATTTAAATTTACATTTACTTTCTATTCTTTTTCGGATACATCTCATTCTACCATATCCTCCATCATTAGCACTCGGGAATTACATGTTTTCTATCAGCTACTTCAAGTGAACTTCTTTTCAATAACAATCAAATTACCATCAACATCTTTCTCAATCTATGTAAGTTACTTAAAGTGTCTGAATCTGTTTCATATTTTAAATAGTGACAATCAGTGTAATTCAGTTACATATTTCATTGACAAAGCGAAAATACGCAACTCCCATAATGTTTATTTTTCGACACAAATATTCACTGGTTTATTGATCTTCGAAAAGTGAAGCAACATTATCTGAAATTCCATAAATCTCAATTTGTTTATCCCATTTAAAAATTCCGTCATGACATAACATTAAGTTGCACATATCCAAGTTGCTACAGTTCGCATCGCCTCAATAAGAGGCAAATAACAAAATATAAATCATTGAATTTGGAATATTATTAATATAGCTAGTAGTAAAATTCTAATCATACAGAATAAAATTTGAGATAAATAAAGAAATTCAATAAACAAAATGTACGAGATAATATTAATCTCAAGGTTGAGATCATCAGAAAGAACTTGAGTATCTGTACCTCCCTAAACAATTTAGTTTAAAAACCAATGACTTCATGGATAAGTGTTATATTTCAGTTATGTGACCTTCTATGTCCTTCAACTATGCCTCTATACAAACTAACTCGAAAAGCCAGGTTTGGAGTTAAATGGGTACGCTCAACACATGTCCTAACAAAACTAAAAAATAACAGTTTACAGATCCTTCAACCAACTATGAGTCTCTACCAAGAACCATGTGTTGTACTAAAATATAATTCATTCAGTGGTTCCACAATACACGGGAATTGTTAAAAATGAATTGTGATAACAGTCATCTGTCAATACTTTTTTCACTCGTTTTGTTTGCAACTAAACATACAAAAAGAGGTTTACTAATGTATCTAGTCTTACTTTAACAAAACTTCCTCCCTATTTCATCGCAAGTTTTTTCTCTATAAACACCTGTCAGTAATTAGTTCACTGCATATCTAATTATCTAAGTGGATTCACTCTTTTTTCCTTGCATTAAAAAACTTTTTAAACTTAACATATTATCATTATTTTTTTGTGTGGTATTCAGTTCATTGTATGCTGAAAAAGATAACACGATTTATCCTATCTTAGCTAAATCAATTACAAAGATCAAAGTTATACGATCATACTGTGATAATTTATGTGAAATGTTATGTTTATCCAGTATATAAAAGAAATAAGTATAACCGTGTTATACCAGAAAAGTATTAATTATTAATTATTATTCAAGTTTGAGACGATTGAGATTTCGCAAATGATGAATTCACTGTATGGTTCTCATATTTTACTAAGAGATTCTGTAGTTCTGTGTTGAAACACATTCAATTGTCCTCATTTGTGTTCCCGTTCACCACAACAGTATTGATTGCTGAACTTGAAAAAAACTCCAGTTGCATTAGAATTATTGTGGTCACTTATCTCTTATCTCATTTATTTTCCACTCAACTTCTGTATGTCTTCTTTTATCGTTGTTCTTATTCGTAAAACTCAATTAAAACAGAGTTTTTTTAGTTCACACTTGAATCGATACACTGCAGTCTGCTATTGAGTTTCGCTGTTAAAGAAAAACTAATGTTAGCAACACCATAGAACTACAAATTGTGTATTTCATGATCTGTTCTGGTTAGTTCAATAATCAATTTAATGATATCTCCCATTCTTAATTTAGGTATAGGTTAAAGAAAAGAAGTCATTTCTCAAAAATATTTGTATAGGGTGTCTGTAAAGATTATTTACTTTTCATAATTAACATCATGGACTTATCTTAGTTAAAGAATGACTAAAAAAATAGGAGCACTGGGCAGATATCTTGTTCTAGTATGGAACTTTCGGCAGTGAGCCCACATAGTTTTACCCAGGATTGAACCCGGGAGCTTGAGATTTTTCGGCGAGCATCCAATATTTAGAATACTAGAACGCTTTCTGGTGCTTCATATGTCTATTTCCTTTATTTATCTACTGAATAGCATTGATGTAAGAACAAAGTTTTACTTCATACTTTACAAACACAAAAGTCGACCACACTGAAGAGTCGTATGTTAATGTTATTTTTTTGTTTATTTGTTTAAGAAATCAATCAAGTCAGTCCTACGAAACACAGGTTCTATGTAATATCTTTTAAAACATGTGAGTACCAAATAAAAAAAACTATTATTTAACTTATGACAACGTATGTAACATTGTTGTTTAATCAAGCATGTTAACAAAATTCATAGTTTTCTATTTTTCTAATAATATAATTTCATTTTGTCGTGTAATTTGATTATTAATGTCAACCTTTACCCATAATTCTTCCTGATCAAAGTTAAAAAAAACAGTCTGTACATTCTATTACTTGCTTGCTAATAGAAAATTTAAGCTTTTCAAAATCATTAGTAAATGGATAATTCATTAAAATCATTGGTAACGATGAAAAATTGTTTTCAGACTGATACATCTGTTCTGATTTTAATAATAATGAATTCTTATCGATCTGAAAATGAACATTGTTTTCCTAATTTACAATCAAAATTTGTATGATTTCTCTTTCATACAACGTTCATATCTATATTCAATATATTTTAAACAAAAGATCATTAAGGAGAATGTTACATTAAAAAGATTCTTTTCTTAAAAAATATGGATTAATTATTACGTCTCCTGAAACTGATCAACAATATAATATTCAGTATGACTAGATAGTAATGCTAAAAACTAAATAATAATGTTTTGCTTCTTAATTAAATCACAATACTGGGAAATTAATGTTATACAAAGAAATATTAAGATTATTTAATTGTTGGATTCATAAGTTAATTAAAGCTAGACCACCATGAAAAACCTAAAAGCACTGGATGGCCGTCTCGTCCTAATATTAGACTCCTCAACAGTGCGCATCCACGATCCCTCACGCAAGATTTGAACTTAGGGTCCATCGATCTCACACACCAATACTTAACCTCTAGACCACTGAACCGGTATCCAACGGTAATAATGTCTAACTTCAACCAATCCACGAAATTGAGTGACACATCTTACAACAGACCTGATTGAACTCCACTGGTCACTGCTTTTCACTTGAACTCCAAAAAATACTTCTTGAATCCAGTCAGTAGTTTATTGGTTGGAGTCAGACAATAACACCGTTGAATTCCGGCTCAGTGATCTAGAGGTTAAGCGTTCACACTCAAGAACGTTATGCCCTGGATTGGAATCTCGAGAGGCGGGATCGTGGATGCGCACTGCCGAACCAGCCGTCCAGTGCTCTCAGGTTTCCCATGTTGGTCTAACATTAATTGACTTATGAATTCAACTATAAAATTACCAAAATCTCCACAAAATCCCTTTCTGATTATAAGATTATTTAATCAATAATAAATATACAATTATCACAATACTAAGCCTAATATAATGTGGTAAAATATATTAGTCAATAAAGTGTTTATTACAAATCCCAAAAACTATATTTGAAGTCACGATTTACAAATAAGTTTACGATTTACTTAACAATAAACGGACTGAATATGTGTTCCAATATATAAATGTATTCGTAATGAGATTTTTTCTAAAATAATCAAACACGTTTATTTCTAAATTCCATAACCACCATTAATAAGCTTTCAATCAAACTACATAACACTATTCTCATGACACTGTAACACTCAAACTTTCTGGGTCTCGTACATAGACCATTATAGTTACTGAATGAAAGAAAAATCTTTCACGAGGATCTCATATATGTTACCATAAATTTTATGGCAAATAAATTGAATTGACTTCCATTATGAGATTAAATGAAATGAAATTACAACTAAATAAAATCAACAGATTTTTAAATATTTTTTTGTAAGAATGACATAATTTAGCCATTAAGTACTTCGCCTGTAGCCCTTCCGAGGGCTACTGCCGGTCCCAAGCCCAGATAAAAGAGGAGGGTTGGGCATTGGGTTAGCGACCTCATCCCGTAAAAAACTAACTCGCTAAAAAACGCTAATCAGAAAGCATAATTCAAGCACTCCATTATTTTTTTATTCGTTAAATAACTTTTCTGAGCAACAACCTAAACCTTTGAAGTTCACATAAAATAAAAAAAACTTGATCTCATGATCAATTGTATAGTGTACTTATCAACAAAATGATAATTAATCAATATAAAATCATACAATAAGGTTATCTAAATGATCGATTTTCGAAGAATGAAATAAATCCTTTTATATTTTCTTTGTGAATTATTCTCTTAATATAATATTTGATCTGTTATATATATATATATATATATATATATATATATATATATATACCAAACAATGTTTGTTCTTTATTCACAATACTTAACATTGAGTTGTTTGATAAACATTCAGGAAACCTTAAAAAAGAAAAGGAAAAGAATAATTCTTTTACCTTAAAAAGGTTGTCATATGAATTATTATTTATTTCATATACCTATAGGTAATCGATCATTCAAAATTATCATCTCTTTAAACATAATTTTACTTTAGATATAGTAACCTGGATCGTAATTGTCATTAGTCAGATCAGATATATTCTGTGTTTGTAAAAATATACCGAATTTATTACTTACTTCCTTACGTAAGCCTGTTACCCCTCGTGGAGGAGCATAGGCCGCCCACCAATATTCTCCATTTAACCCTGTCCTGGGCAATCTTTTCCAGTTCTTTCCAGCTAACATTCATCCTTTTCATATCTGCTTCTATTTCCCGGCGTAATGTGTTTTTTGGCCTTTCTCTTTCCCGCTTCCCTTCCGGATTCCAAGTTAAGGATTGTCTCATGAAATTGAATTTGTTTAAAATTTTGTATGTTATTATAGTACCATAGCTTTATAACATGTAGAATATTCCTAACTTGATAAATTCTATGTCGAAGCAATAGACATATTGCCAACAAAGACTGATTTAATTTCAGTCTCTAACATCAACAACTTGATAATTCATTGTCTTTTTTATCAATAATATAAATGTAATACACGTTCAACCAGTTAATTGAAATCTGGAGTCATTAGATTAATGAATAACGTATTGGACATTTGAAATGCATAGTGCTGGATTCGATTCTATGGAGTTAGGTAACATGAGCTTATATTTTAAATAACTCTTACTATCATTGGCATTTTTCATAGTTTCACATAATGTTTACAATTACTGTCGTTGACTGTAAAATGGTTGTTTGAATTTTACTTTGATCTTCCGTTACTCTTTCCTTCTCTTCTCTCATAACACGCTGGCTTTTGCTCATAAATACACTGCTGCATATACACTTCTCAGTATCAATCATCAGCTCCCGCGACATTAGGTTTCTAATATATTTGCTATGTTCATGGATCACATTGATATTTCCATTACGTGATTATTCTGAATATACATCATTTTGAATTATATCTAGCATATTTGAAATTATTGGCTACTTCTTAAGGATTACGAGACCGAAACCCGAACATGCCTTTTACTGATAAATGAAGCAAAATCTCATATTTTTTCTTTATGAGTATTTATATTTATGTATACTATCAGTTGTCTTTATACTTTCCACAATAACTGTATCATTATTTTGGTATTGATATATTTGGTCCTCCATAAGTTTCGGCATGAACATAAACAATGATGCCGACACACCCACTTAACGGGCCTCACATGTGGCGAAACACTCATTCTAGATCTCACTTCTAGCTATAACACTTTTGTATGAATGAATATAAACAAGCATTTTTCCAAAAATATTTAAGTAGGCAACGATTTATCTGGATGCTCTTTTCAGTATTTTTTTTACTTTGATATAAAGACTTTAACAGATATCCATTCAGTTAAAATGATGTCGACGGTAAAACGTTATTTACTAAAATAAACTTTAAGAAATAATCTTGATATTCTATATGGGAGTGACCAAACATTTACATTATTACTTAATTAACTTCCTGGTTTTTGAAAAAAAAATCTAATTCTGTTGAAAATCAATATTGAAGAATCTACATATCATATTACACAGAAATTTAAATAAACCCTTCGTATAAGTTGTATTTTTGTCAAGTGAAATTTTCGATGTTACTTTCTCATAAACACAAACTATGAGCAAAAACTTCTCTTTGAAAATACTTCCAATTTACGGTTGAACACTTATCCTAACTTTAGTTCAATTTTCCGAATCGAACTGCATTTCGTCAGGATATCGAATGAAATATCATTAAGCGATAAAGATTATACACGTTCAATACTATTTTTCCAAATAATGAAGGTTGGTAGTTTTCCTAGCCTTGAATTCATTTTTTAAACCTCTCAGTTATACTCTTGACCTTGTTGAAAAGAGTGTTTTTTTTGTCAAGTTATTTATGTAGACATCATTCTTAATCGTATTATCTTGGCTTCTCGAAATTCGGCAAAATTTGATGTACTTCAGTTTGTGAATCTATTGCATCGTATGGTGAAATTCCAATTTTATTCGAAACATTATCTAAAAAGATCATTTAAAATTCCATCTTATCGAAAGGGCTTTATTATGTCCATTCCGCCTTATCCCGATATTCACACAGACAAGAGTACAACTTAATCAAATCAGACTAGAATACCATACTGTATCCTAAAGCATTTCTAGCTACTGGTTCTCGGCCTTTGAATCTTGGATGGAGAGACTTCGGTAGACAAATGAAGTTACTCTACTGTATTCAGCTATCCAGTGATACCTTGAGAAGCGATAAGTTTTCTAATAGTACACCACTGGTTATTCCGCAACTGTCACAGAAAATACGTTCACAATCATTTTGAGCGATTAAGTGTATATATTGATATATTTGATTATAATCATTAAAAGTTGAGGGTGAATATAGCTGAAACCATCATGTAAGGGTCCTAGCTTTCATCACTGGTAAAGACTATATTTATTTTATATATAAATATATATATAAATATATATTTTTTATATATAATTCCAACTACATTACATTTCTACCTAGTTGTTCATAAAAGACAATCACTTTGCTTAAGTAGTATAACAATCAGGAACATTCGGACAATTCTGCAGTACATCCATTGAACAAACGTTTTTAATTGGAAAACAACCCTAAAATTACACAGTTAAGTGTTGACCGGTAGTTATCATTTTAGAGCAAACTTAGTTATTATTCTTTGAAAATTACGACC